GTATTCAGGACTGCTTATTATTATTGTCTAAGTAAAAGTAAAGAAGGAAAGGAATCATTTGACTTGAAGACCATAGAGCTAGAAAGAACCATTGATCTAGTCTAGGATTTCTTAACCAGGAGTCCATGAACTAAAAAAAGAAAAGTTAACTGTATTTCAATATAATTGTTTGCCTTTGTAATCCTATGTATTTCATTTTAGGCCTTTTAAAACATTATACTAAAGTGGAGCCATAGATTTCATCAGACTCTTAGAGGGTCCATGACATAAAACCTGCTCTAGTCGATCTTATTTCTCTGATGAAGGATCTGAGGACAAATTAATATTAAAACTTGGATTTCCAGACTTGCCTGCCAGTGTTCTTTCACCTACTTTGAGTAAATAAAAAGTACTCTATATTAGATAGAGAATTTAACAGCCTGCACAAGCAAATTGCTATAGAAATGGAGATTCATTACTGCTAACGTAATAATTTTTTTTATCTTCAAAATAAACATTTATTCAGTCTGTAACAAGAACATTGAATTTATACATCAGTGCACAAGTTCACATTTGAAAAACAGCAATGCACATTATACTCTGCTTTAACTGACTCTGAAAAGTCCCAGAGACTCCAGGGAGCATATCTGCTTTCCTGGAAAGAACATGGACACAGAAGTGTGGTTGGGTGGAGAGATTGCGGATGATGGAAGAAGAGGGTCTTCAGGGGCTGGATTTTCACATTTAGAACAAGTCCTACAATTCTGTCACATTTTAAGACAGGAGAAAAGGCATGGCCATCATGAGCTGTAGCATTTTGAAGTAACTCCTGTAGTACTCTATACTACCTATAGTGTTAAACACATCTTGTAGAATAGTTCTTTCTGCCTCTTACCTCTTCAGCTAAACTAAGCCCCTTGGAGCAGCTAGGTGGCACAGTGGATAGAGCACCGACCCTGCAGTCAGGATGATCTGAGTTCAAATCTGACATCAGACAACTTGACACTTACTAGCTGTGTGATGGGCAAATCACTTAACCCCATTGCCTAGCCCCTCAAAAAAATTAAAATTAAGCCCCTTGAAGTCAAGGATTGATACTCATTGATATTATTTTTTCTCCTAAACCCAGAGTACTTAGCACAAGGATTCAACCTGACAGGTATTTACATGCTCATTTGAATGAGAAAATTCCTACAATTTGACAGCGAACAGGATTAGCATAACTAGGAGAACTTACACTAACCCCAACCCCAACCAAAAATAAAACCCACCACCCTAAAAGGCAACCAACACTACAAGTAATTATAGTAAGCAATGTCAGTTCCAGAGAAGACAGAATGAACTATCTCTCCCTCTTGTTTGAAAGAAAGGGAGACTACAGTTAAAGAATGTCAATATTTGGTAGTATTAGCAAGTGTAATCTCTACTGGTTAGTTTCGCTAAACTATCCTTTATTATAAGGGAGACCCTTACAGTACAGTGTATAACAGAAGTGACTTATCACCCCCCCACCACAAAAACAAAATCTCATTAAAAAAAACTTGTTTAGAAAAACTTTCTAGCATGGACTTGTCCTATAAGGAAAGAGTCTTGTGCATTTCAGATGTACCAAACTTGTAAATGCCAAGTTCTCAAATAGAAATATTCAGTTATTGAGAAGCGTACGTAGTTTTTAATAACAACATCCCAATTATTGTTGATCGGTGCACCAACGTAAGTAACAGTGTGTGCCTGTCACTGTTTTGTCTGTTCTCACAAATGCACCCCAGTTGCTTACCAGTTACAGATTGGACTCTGTGGTGGGGGGGAAGCTCTGTTTGGAAGTATTTTATCTTCCTGTAACTTACTAACAAAAGTAAACTGAAGGTTTGAGGGCAAAAACATCAAGATTTACAAATGACATGCAAAGAGGGAGCTATCCCCTAAGAAGGGCTTCCTTGTATATAGAACAGAGCTGTTGAATCACAGCTGCAAAATTCCTAAAGGAGTCCAAACCAGATTAAAATGTAATTTGGAAATGTTTAATAAAACAAAAATAAAATACAACATAGCTAATGTTAATATGTGCTATTCTAAGTCACTATATAGTGCAGGGAGGTCTCTTTCTATATGAGTTTGACACCTCTGATATAGATCATGTCAAATTATGGTCCTGATATCTAAATGGACTTTGCCAGGTTCAAAATCTTTCACAATGACTAGGCTTGCAGGTAAATAAACCACCTCATCTAGCCTCAGTACTTCTAAAGAGCTGTAGAAAAGTGAGCAAATCCTTACTAGTATTGAGGCCAAAAGGTGATTCTAATACTTTGTATTTGTGGCCTCAGTATGAGACCTTGGAAAATAAGAGGAGAATCTAATATAGTAAAGTAGTGGATGGAGTTAGAGAGCCTGAGCTAGTACTTCTACTTGTCATCTCTGAGACCTTGGGCAAGAAGTCACTTCAAGGCTACCACAGTTCTCTCATTTACAAAATCTTAGAATCTTTAGACTCTAAGTTCCTTGAGTACAGGGACTATCTCTTGTCTTCCTTTGTATCTCCATTACTTTAGTCCCTGGCACATAGGAGGTGCTTAGTAAATGCTAGTTGACTTACTGTAAGATAGGGATACTTGTACTATCCACCCTATCTGGGCTCTGTGAAGAATATTGATAAGACTTAAAATGGGTTCTCAACCTGGGGTCTGGAAATTTCTTAAAAATATTTTTAAAAAACTATATTTCCATTGGTTTCATTTGTAATCCCATGTATTTTTTTTCATTTAAAAACATTCTAAGAATGAGTTACATAGGCTTCTGCAGACTGCCAAATGTGCATCATGATGTGAGAAAGTTTAAGAATCCTTGCTTTAAAGAATAAATTATTAGCTTTTGCTTAAATTTAAGCTACTTCAGATTATAGATTTCTGATCTCAGTTAAAGGTCTACAAGGTACTTGGGGTTAGAGCAACCAAAGGAAAAATAGTCCCTGTTCCCTGGGAACATAATCTCTTTGCTGACTTCCAATCTTTTACCTCCAACTGCCTTTGAGACATTCCAAACTGGTTTTCCAGTAGACATCTTAAACTCAACATGTCCAAAACTGAACTCATTATCTTTCTCCCTAAACCATTCCCCCATCCTACCTTTCCTGTAACTATAGAGGACAACACCATCTTCCCAATCCCTCAGGCTTAATATCTAGGAGTTATTCTTGACCCCTCACTATGTCTCACCTTTCATATCTAATCTGTTGCCAAAGCTTGTCTTTTACCTTTGCAATATATCTTACAACAATTATCATCATTATTGTCATAAGCCTCCATCACTCCTCTGACATGGCCACCACTCTAGACCAGGACTTCATTACCTCATACCTGGACTACTGCAGTATCTGCCGGTTGATCTGCCCATTTCAAGTCCCTCCATTCAGCCACTGAAGTGATTCTCTGATTTTGTTAGCCTCCAGGATCAGATATAAAATGCTCTGTTTGGCATTCAGAGTCTTTTGTAACTTAGCTTTCTCCTACCTTTTCAGTCTTCTTACATCTTATTCTCCAGCACGTACACTATGATTCAGTGATACTGGCTCCCTAGCCATTCCACTAGAAAGACACTCCATCTCTTGGCTCAGTGTTTTCTCTGTTTCCCATGGCTGGAATGTTCCTCCTCCTCAACTCTGCTGACTTCTCTGGATTCCTTTAGGTCTCAACTAAAATCCCTTCTTCAACAAGGAACTTTTCCCAACTTTAATTCTAGTGTCTTCCCTCTGTTATTTCCTATTTATCCTGTATGTAGCTTGCTTTGTGTATATTTGTTTGCATAGTGTCTCTCCCATGAGATTGTAAGCTCCTTGAGGGCAGAGATTGCTTTTTGTATCTCCAGCACTTGGCACAGTGTCTGGTCTGTAACAGGCACTTAATGGTCATCGATTGATAAAGATAAGCATAAAATAATCTGAGGCAGGAAAAAGCCAAAGTGCACTAGAACTATATCTAATGGGCTCTGGAGGCCAAGTGTTAAATTTTCAGTATGAGTATTTATACCTCAGAAATTGGTAAATGCTACAAATCAGGGCTTGATTTACTGTTTTGTTTTACTCTGGAGACTTAAGTGATAGAGAATGTGTTAAAAATGCAGAATAAACTTAAAAGTGTCATGCATGTAGAGTTTGGTTCCCACCCCACCTCCAACCTTCCAGAGAGCTGTTTGTTAGACATTGACCAGTATACACTGGAGAGAACAGTAGCAACTAGGGAAAATGGAAAAGGCAGAAGTGGCACCTGGGTTAAGCCTTGATGGAAGCTAAGAATTCCTGGTAGTAAAAGTGAAGAGAAAGTGTTACAAGCACAGGGGAATACTTGTACAACAGTATAAGGAATTGTGAAATGCAGTCTGGCTGCATATATGAAACATTTCTAGGAAGAGAGGTTAGAGACTAGTTGAAAGGGCTTTAAATGTCATGCTTAGGAAGTTGCATTTTGTCTTAGAGATAGTAGTAGTTCACTGAAGTTTCTTGAGCAGAGTAGTACCAGGATCAGACTAGCATCTGTGTGAAAGGTGAATTGGAAAAGAGAGACTAAGACTCGGGGGAAACAAATTAGATGGCTTTATAGGAACCCAGACAAGAGGTCATGAGATGTGAACTAGGGTGGTAGCCTTAGGGGTTGAGAGAGAAAGAATCAGGTGCAAAAGATGTTGTAGAAGTAGTAACAGGTCAACTGATGGGATAAGGCGGTAAGACTAAGGGAAATGCCTGATGACAATGATATAAATTTAAGGGACTAGAAAGAAGGAACAGAGAAAGGAGAGTTCAGAGGAAGGGTGCTCATTTTCCAAATTAGTAACTAATAAGTAGCACTTGATAGATCTGCTCTGGATACTTGAAGATGGGCTGCTCCTAAATAAGTCTAATGGCATCATAATCCCCCTTCTCTAAGAACTTGGGGTAGCCTGCATCTCTAGTTTCAAAGTAACAAGCTGTCTTTTCTTATCTTCATTTTCAAAAAATACTGATTTAGCTAAGGTCTTTCTAACCTTAGGGACAAGAACAAAATGTGAGTCATCTCAATTCCAGTGCAGCAATGGCCGCTGTATTACTTTGTTGTGGAAGTGTGATGGTGAGGAAGACTGTAGCGATGGCAGTGATGAGAGTTCATGTGGTAAGTACCCTCAGAACCTGCTGAATGCTTTTCCCCCTTGTCAAATCACTGAAACTCAATATTTTGCAGAAAAATCATGTCCTGACTTATGTTTCTATAAAAATCACTAAAGCCATCAGACAAAGCTCTTTCAGGACTTGGCTTGAGCTTAGAATCTATATTAAAATAAATAAACAACTAGAACTATTGATGGTAGACAAATAAGTCTCCTAGAAGTCATCTTAAAATCAATTGAAACTAGCATACCTTGAATAAGAAGATAAAAGATAAAATAGACCTTTTGATTAAAAAATGAAGGGCATGACTCCTCTCAGACCAAAAAAACAAGTTCTATATCTTCTACCCTTTCTCCCTAACTTTATATTAATACTATAGTTTACAAATGTCTATTATAGGAAATTTGTTCAGGGAAACACTCTAGTCCAGATTATGACTTCTATTTGCCCCTGACTCCTACCAAAGAAAATCAATGTAATAATAATATATCTAACCCATAGACTCTGAGTAGAGTCAGAAGAAAACCATAGATTACAGATTTAGAAGCAGGCTAGTTGTTCTCATTTTACAAATGAGGAAACTGAAGCCTAGAGAGGTTAAGTGACTTACTCAAGGTCACACAAGTAGTGTCAGAGACAGAAATTTAACCCAGATTCTCTGCTCCAAGGCCAGTGTTTTTTCCACTGTACTGTTCTATTCTGAAGAAGCTATAGTCTCATTAGACTAGTCCTCAAATTTCTCTCAACCCTTAGAAGTCCTCAGACTTCTATCAATCCCTAAATCCCTAGAAAGTTTTTTTTAAGTGCTAACTTAAAGAAGTATCTTCTGTCATCACAGTCTCCCTTGGTAACAGATCTCATTCCTTGAGCAAAGCCAGATTTTATAGCCACTTCCTTTGTGAGATGGGAGAGCCTCCAGAATCCCTAACTTTATCTTTTGACTGCTGTAAGCATAGTTATAATTTGGTTCCAAAAAATAGAGAAAGGTAATGAATTAGAAGAATATAAAATGGAATGAGAAATGGCAATGTTTCACATTTTAACAAATATTCATCATCTATGTTCAATACTCCTTGCTGGGAGAAAGATTAGGTACAGTGGTCTCAGCTCTTATGATACACATAGTTCATGTTAGTCTTATTCTTCTATTACAATTCTCATAAGAAATATTATGAGTTCTGAGGAGGGAAGGATCACTACTGGATGGGGTGGAGGAGAGAATAGAGAAGACTACTTTAATCTTCCTTCTGCTTATCCCCTGTTACTAGTATCTCCCATAACCAATATGATCCAAGGTAATGTTCCACAGCCACGTTATTCACTTGACATTAACCTTATCCCTATCTGGAATAGGTTTGCATGACCTTGACAAATCCTTTAATCTCCTTATTTAGAAAATGGGGGTGGGGAAGCACATGAATCCAGTTCTAATATTTCATTTCAGAGAGGTGACTACCCATTACATGACCTCCAATTGGCCACAGGTAATTAGACAGTGATGTAAAATTTTTTAAATTCCTTGCCATCCAAAGAAATCCATGTTGGAGCAATTTTTCTTCTCATTTGTCAGTTTGACTATATTGTGGCTTGAAGGAATTAAACTTCTATTAGTTCTGAAACAGGCCATTATCTGAAAGAAAAGTCACCGTCCCTTGTGAGTGAAAGTCACTGGCTTACTTTGTTTACTCTTATGGAGATAGAGCATAAATGATCTCAATTCAACCCTAACCTGAAAAACTGAAGTCCCTTTGTTCATCTGTGTAGAATGCACACACAACAGTTTATCCATTAAGCAGCTCAATTTACATAATGTGAGCCCTTTCTATGTTTACACAGCACTACTGTAGGTGGAATATGGTAGATATGCCACTACTATTCAGACAGCTTATCTAATATGCATGTGTCTTCTCTCTCTAAAGGAATAATATAAGCCTGGGTTTGGTTAAAATCCAAAAGAAGTCTTCTTGCCTGGACCATCTATAAGTCAGGAAGGGTTTCCTTGGGTCAATTATATGGGAAAGCTTATGGTGGTAGCACTTAACATTGAGGGACAGGCTTTAGGTAGGTTAGGAGAATCCATATGTAGTTGAATGATAAAATTTCAATATTTATGTCCTCTTAACTCAGAGCTTGAGTTAATTAGAATAGAATTTCTAGAATAGAGTGCAGTTTTGATTTTAAAAATAAATTGCTTTGGTACTGTCACCCACAAACTCTACAAAATAATTGTACCCCTTAGCAGCTAAAAGCTTTTGGTGAGATCAAAGACTTGGTCATTCCTATTCTAAATAAAGTACTTGGTCCACCATTTTTAAACTCTGTTAAACCAGACTAAAAAAGACTCTTCCCTCTCACCATCTAAATCCTATCATTCAAGGATCAGCTTAACTCCTCTTATGTGCCTAGACCATAGTATTCCTAAACTTTTTGTTTGATATTTAGACATGGAAGTACTAAGTGGTATATAATTGGCCTTTTCCCCCAGTTGGACTCACTTTATTCAAACTTGACCTCCTTCTCTGACCAAGTTTAAGCTTAGCTCTGAAGGAATTAAGTTGGTGGAGAGCTGTTAAAAGTCTGCTTTATACTATAGTGGTATGTGCTGATATGTGCCCTCAGACAGTTACAAAGTACATTAGTAGTATTGAGAGGAGAAGAACTTAGCAAGAAGAGGATAAGTTTAGTGAAAATTCTATTTCTAGTGAAATCTGGAGGGATTTAGAGTTAAGGGTGGGAGAGGCAACAGAAGAGAATGCTCTCACTGAGGAATAACCACAAGTCCCATTCTCTGTTTCCTTGGCTCCACTAAAGGGTGTTAATAGCTGAAAAAAAATTCATAGTATTAACTGCCTTATGTAGCTTCTGAAGCCAGAGGTTTTTAGAAACTATTTGGACAAAGTCATGATCATAAAATACAATTAAGACTGGGGCAACATGTATGTAAACAAAATAATTCTCACCAAAAGCAAAAGCCAGCATGACAATAGAGAGGTGGCTGTGGAGTCACAAAGACCCAGGTTGAAGTTCTGCCAATCATATATACTTTGTGACTATGGGCAAGTTATACATAACCTTGAAGTTCCTTCTCTAAGCAGTTTTCAAAAAACTAGAAAGTGAGATGAGTTTGCTGATCTGTATTGGAAGTGCTATCTACCACTAGGTACACTGAAATCAAAGGTAAAACAATAAGAAAACATAAATTCAAGTCTAATGCAACCAAGCTGTTAAAGTACATTTCCATCCTTTTAAGAATCATTCAACTACATAAGTAGAATATTGGTCACAATTATTCTCTTAGGCTTGGCTGTTTTAGAGAAATGTACTTGGGGTGTTTGGGAAATGTCAGTCAAAACATTGTGATTATTCCTCCTTTTTTGGGTCAAATTACAATTTGTAGCAAACTAGGTAGGGCCCTTGTGTTTAAATCTAAAAATACCCAATCTATTTCACATAAGAAAATGTGGAAGTACCTTTTAGCCTTGACTAATCTGCTGTGGTCACCCGTCCATCTTGCAGATTTCCCTTGCTCTCTAGATCTCCCTTTATGAAAACAACTCAACTTATAAAATTTGCTGTACCGAAATATCTTGGAATGAATTGTGACCAATTATGAATTGATTTTTTTTTTTTTAGCAATGGGTGTTCTAATTCCCCAACTCACAGGAGAATCTCTTACATTAGAGCCCAACTAGGGATGTTTTCTCTCCTCTCCCATTCTGGTGAGGTTCAGTTTCCAATGTCTTCATGTGGCAATTTTCCACAGAACCAAACATTGTTAGGAATAACACCTGCTATACCCAAAGATAAGAGTGACCCTTGGATATTGGCACTTACCAGTTTAGAACAACATACAGCCACAATTAAGGATTTATTTGGCTGACTTGGAAACCTCAGCATTAAAGAGATTAAAATATAGTTTTCCAGAGAGGCCATTTGTACTCTGGCAAACAAATGGACTATTGGATAAGTTTGATACTAACCTTGTAACTGAATATGAATTTTATTTATAGTGAAGAAGACATGTGCTGAGTCTGACTTTGTATGCAATAATGGCCAGTGTGTACCGAACAGATGGCAGTGTGATGGGGACCCAGACTGTGAAGATGGATCTGATGAAAGGCCAGAACAATGCAGTAAGTGTTGCTACTTTGTTGGCTAACTTGCCAAGGTGACAATATTCTTAGGGGTACTATTTGGAGCTTATATATGAAAATTAAGGGGGCACTTCATAGCTGTTTTCAAGTACTTGAAAGGCTGTCACATAAGAGGGAATAAGCTTGTTTCATTTGCCCTAAAAAGGCAGAACTAGAAATAATGCAGAGATATCTTTTGGGCTGGATATAAGGAAAAACTTCCTTGAAGATCCTAGCCATAATAGGGAAAAAAAATGGAATGGATTGCCTCAGGAAGTAAAGGGCTCTATTTTGTTAAAGTCTTCCAAGCAAAGGATGGATGACCTTATTGGGAATTTTAAAGGAAACTTCAGTCAGGTATGGGTTAATTAGATGGCCTCTGAAGTTTCTTCCAACACTGGGAGGATGACTTCCATTGTGTGGTGTACTTTCAACTCGGTGACTGCATCAACTAGAAAAGTTCTTTCTACTTTGTCATGATGGAGTTAAGTACTGCTTCTGAGATTCAACGTTTGGTGTTAATCTTTGCTCCCCTCTCTTCCACAAACCAACCCCCACTTACAACATCTTAAGGATCTTCATTTTCCAGGAAGCAGTTACTGACATAAGTCATTGAGTAATCTCAATACAAGTAATTTGCTGATTTTTTCTCCCCACTTCAATTTGTGAGCCTCTGGCTAAACTAAAGTTCTCTTGGGTGGTTATATGTAGTGTTGAGCATTCCTATTACTGCCTCAAGCCCATTGAGCCTATTGAGAACTCATTGACTAGGTGCATAAATTGCCCACATGTTCTTGATCATGATTACTCTATAGAAATGGTACTTAATCCTGAAAGCTTTCAACATTCCAAATCCCACAGTGGACAAAGTGAAGTAGTAGGCATTCCTTTAAAACATATATAAAAGAAATTGAGGGCCAATGTTCCTTGTCTTTATAAGTATCCCTCTAGATGAGGAAACAGGGACTTGCAAGACAACTTGCAAATGAGTGAAATCTAAAATAGTATAGCTAAAGATAAACTTACAAATATTATATATATGTATATATATATAATATACACACACACACATATATAAATTAATAATAGGAACAGCTCTAGGTCATTTCACTTTAATGAAGGGTCCATAATTAAAATGGTATTTAAATTATTTGTCAAGGACAGAAAAACAGAAATAAAATTATCTTCTTTAAGCAAGTCTTAATGATATGAGTTGTCACTTTCAAATATACAACAATTGACTTACTGTGAATTATTTGTTAATTTTAAATCCTGGTTCACCTTCCACTCTTTCCATTTGCTGTGTTCTGGAAACAAACTCAATTGAACAAAATCTATTCATTCCAATCACAATGCATAATCTAGAAATGATTTTAGAATACATATTATTCCTTTCTATTGGTTCAGAGAGTACCTTTCACAAAACATGTTAACAGTTGAAATTTGACTAAGTGCTGTCAGGAATTAAAAAATGAGTCTTCTCTTTTCTTCCCCAATTTTATAGAAGGGGAATGCTTCTAAAATGAAAATCATAATTCTTTATATGGAAAGGTAGGAAAAATTGGAATTAGTTTGAAGAATTTTCCCTAGAGAAATTTTGGAGTAAGTGGATAAAAGGTCAGAATGCAAAAGGGATTCTGGAGACTTATAAGAAATGGACATAACAAAGAACACTGATATAGGGCATAGCATATATTTGCTTAGATTCTAACTTCTACCTGCCTTAATTTCTTCATCTGTAAAATGAGAATAATAGCATCACCCATCCCTTAAGGTTGTGAAAATTAAATGAAATGAAATTTGTAAAGCACTTTATAAACCTTCAAGTGCTATATAAATGCTAGCTATTATTATTGTTGTTGATTTTAGAACTATAAAGTACTTTATTCCTCATCTACTTAGGTGAAGAATGAGGGAAAATGATTTGCCCAAGGTCTTATAATAGGAAGCACAGCTTCAATTAGAACCCAAATCCTGACCCTAAATTTAGCAATCTCTACCATATCAAACTACTGCCAAGTGAGGCAAGGAAATAACAAGAAACCAGTAGTTTGAGTCACCTAGAAATTACATCAAGGGTTTGAAGTAAGCCTTTTGGGCTTGGTCACCAAATGTATCAGGGTCCCAAGGAGTAGCCCTGGAAATAGATACCAAGACCTCAGATGGAAGAGTCAATTTCATAAGTATGCTGTTTTGATGGCTGAATCGTGAACATCACCAGTACCAAGCAACTCAGAGTAATCTTCCTCAGCACCTTGTATCACTTATCACAGTTCTGAGGTTCCTTTGAGACTATGTGTCCTCAACAGATATGAGAACCTGCCGAATAAATGAGATCAGCTGTGGTGTTCGATCAACCCAATGTATCCCAGTGTCCTGGAAGTGTGATGGTGAAAACGACTGTGACAGTGGAGAAGATGAAGAAAACTGTGGTAAGAAGATACAAGTACTGAATCCGTTGAATGGCTTATCCTAAGGATTCTTTGCTGAAGGGACAAAAGGCTGTGACTGAAACAGCTTGACTCACTTCAGTGACTTGCTCTATTGGTTAAGAGTAAAAACTAAAATTTTCCGATTAGCAATTTTAACAGCCCTTTGCTAAAAGCTCTTTTTTTAAATTATTGTTAAGAATGTTCCTTGATCTATCAACTAACACATCCCCAATTCTCCTAGAGTCTGAGAAGGAGGTAAAGAAATAGATCTGAGGTAGCCCACAACTGAGTTGGAAATGAAAACTGCCTTGCCTAACCTATGATAACACCTGTGCATTCTTGATCCAAACCCAATCAAGCCAGAATTGGGGGCTGAAGAACCAAAATTTCTTTCCTGTTGCAAATATGAAAATTTCCACCTCTCTGAACCTGTGACCATTAAATTTGCCAGCTTGGCCTTAGTTTCTCCATTTCAAGGAGAATCTCAGTCTCTGACCTCTATTCTCTTGCTTGCCTGGCATAGAGTATGGTGGTAAAGCTGTTTCCTTGATGCAGGTGACCAAAGCAAACTTTGATGATGTCTTTTCTTCCAGGGCCCTGGCCACCACCTCTTCAGGTTCCCTTTCCTGTATTCTCACTGATTTGTCTAGCTTCTCTTCCTCTTTCACCCTTCTGCCTCTGAAAATGTGTTGTAACATGCTATATGTTAAAGGTGAGGCTATGAGGGAAGCTTTAGGTTGAATAAACATTATCTTAATCAACTTTGATTCCCCCTTTAAGTAAGATCCCAAGCACTTCAATTATACAACAAATCTAAGAGACCTTTTGATTCTGGCTGTAGATAAACCCTGGGAATTAGTAATAGGAATACCAATTTAAAAAAAAAAGTACATATGAAGGCTTCTGGGGTTAAAGCAACTGCACCTAGTCCAATGAGTTTCTTCTCCAATTTATTCCTGGAGTCAAGTTTAATGTTTCATTCTGAACTTATGTTGGAAAGTCACATAGCTGCCAGATGTTTCCCTTTTGGAAAAAATGGACTTTGCTTCCCAAGAGAGCAGTGGTTTCCACCCTATTTCTTATAACCATATAAAGCTGTAACCTATAAGCGCTTGCATTTTTAAGTTCCTGCAAAATGAACTGGTCTTATAACCAGGATTAACATGCTCTTTTTTTTTTTTTTTTTAGGCCTAGGCTTATAATAGATTTGCTAATGTTGACTTTCTAGAATTTGAGAGGGTAATACATTAGTTCCTTTCTGGCCTAATAATAAAATTTAGAGATTAGGAAGGGAGTGTAAGTCATCATCCACACTCTACTTTCTCCTCCATTAAAGAATATATTGGCCAAAGAGCTCACATTTATATAACATTTCAGTCATCAGAGTCTTTCTCTATTTTCAATATCCCCATGCTGCAGTAGTACAAGTATTCTTATTTGATAGAAGATGGCACACCTCTTTGCATAAATAATCAACATCAGTGCTGAAGCTCTAACCCATTTCTCACTCTTAATTTCAGTCTCTTTGAATTTAGATTCATAGATTTGAAGCTGGAAGGGACCTCAGAGGCCATCTTGCCTAACCCACTCATTCTATGGGAAACTGAGGCCCAGTGAGGTGACTTGCCCCAATCACACCACTTTGAATGTCATGTCTGACTCATTATTATTTCTATCCAACTCTAAAAGTTATACCACAATGCAGATAAATTTATTTTTAATATTATCATTTTTTCAATTAAACATTTATTTTTTCATTCCTCCAAATTAAACAAAAAAGAAAACCTTCATATGAAATACACATAGTCAAAAAGAGAAAATGCCTGCATTGACCATGTCCAAAAATATTGTCTCATTTTGTCAAGTTGGGTAGTTCCCTAGAATTGTATTTGATCAGAATTCTTAAGGTTTTCAAAGGTTTTTTTTAATTTATAATATTGTATAAACTTTTCTCTGCAGTTTGACCTTCTCAGGTTTCTCTGAAACCATCCATTTTGTCATTTCTTATAGCACAATAATATTCCATCATATTCATATGCTATAATTAGTTTTTCCATTACCTAAATGATGGGTGCCCCACTAGTTTCCAGTTCTTTGCTTTGACAAAGAGTTGCTATAAATATTTTTGTAAATGTGGGTTCTTTTACTTTCTTTGTTAATTTTGGATATAGTAATATTATTGAGGGGGTCAAAGGGTATGACCAGTTAGTGACTTTGGGGCACAGTTCCAAATTGTTTTCCAAAATGGCTAGAATAATTCACAGTTCCCCCAACAGTAAATTAGTGTGTCTGTTTCTTGCAACTCCCCAAACAACTGTCATTTTCCATTTTTTGTCTTTAACAATCTAATAGGTGTGAATTATTTTAGAGAAACTTTTTTTCTAATAACACAGTACTACAGGCACATGGTATTCATGATTATATAAGGAGTTGACTATGAAGAGAAGAGCTAGCCACAGAGGTAAACCTGTATATACTGTCATTGTTAAACCTCTAAATTCTAACGACTTAGTGCTTTCTTTATCTTGGAAAGAAAATGGCAGCTCACAATAATACATGGGTTTATTCTGAAGAGAACAGATCTATGTCCTTCCATCTTTCCTCAGTTCTTTTCTCATTTCATCCATATTCCTAGAAGCTTTTCTAACATTTATCCTTATTGACTAGTACTATAGAAACTTGACTGTGAATGTCACTTATAGTAACAAACATACATACAAATTATTCTAGTTTTTGAATTCGGGTATGAGTGTAGATCTTGATGTTTATTACTTTGGGGGGATAATAAAGTTATTTAAATGTTGATTTGGGATCATTCCATTTTTCTCTTAGGCAATGTAACTTGTAGTCCTGAAGAATTCACTTGTTCCAGTGGTCGTTGCGTCTCTAAAAACTTTGTGTGCAATGGGCAGGATGATTGTAATGATGGTAGTGATGAGCTGGATTGTGCTCCTCCTACATGTGGTGCCCATGAGTTCCAGTGCAGCACTTCTTCCTGTATTCCCATCAGCTGGGTATGTGATGATGATGCCGATTGCTCTGACCAGTCTGATGAGTCCCTAGAACAGTGTGGACGCCAGCCTGTGCCTCATGAAAAATGCCCAGCCAGTGAGATTCAGTGTGGTTCAGGAGAGTGTATCCATATGAAATGGCGTTGTGATGGAGACCCTGACTGCAAAGATGGAAGTGATGAGATAAATTGTCGTGAGTAGTTTCTTTATCTCAGCTCTCAGCATGTCCACCTTAAAACCAGAGTTGATGGGGCCCACTTCACTAGCTAACCTGGTGATAGTTTGTCATTTAGAGGCATTTCTTTCCCTAGCTTCTCGAACATGCCGGCCTGACCAGTTTGAATGTGAAGATGGCAACTGTATTCATGGCAGCAGACAGTGCAATGGGGTCAGAGACTGTATAGATGGCACAGATGAAATCAACTGCAAAAATGGTAAGCATCATCATGCTTTCTCACAACTAGGTGAAATGGGCATAGAACTCTTCTAATGGATGTTCTCTTCTGTCTGTACTCTGGATCATATATAGCCAATCAATGTTCTGGACCTGGAAAATTCAAGTGCAGAAGTGGGGAATGCATAGACATCAGCAAAGTGTGCAACCAGCAACAAGATTGCAAGGATTGGAGTGATGAACCCTTGAAGGAATGCAGTAAGTGAAAGTGTTTTAGGAGCTAGATCAAAGAGCAGAGAAACTTTAAGGTTAATTAGTTTTGATGGAGCAAGTCTTCCTGAAATATCTCAGAGGGAAATTTATAACAGTTTACTTTTATTGCTGCTGTTTGGCTCAGAATCCTACTTTCCCAAGTGTCTGGTAAAAAATACCACTTATGAACTAGGTTAGCAGATTCTTGGTTATGTTAGCCAACAGATGGTTTTCATGGATCTTATGTAAAGCAGGGATCAAGTTTCTGGTTTCTTCTCCTTTCCCCTCCCATTCTCCCTTTGCTAGAAATACCTCTTGGATGTTGCTAATTGCTATAGTGCACCTGAGGACACAATCTTTCATTAAAGAAATACATATTCCTGTAAAATAAGATGTAATTGTAGGGGCAAATCACAGGGAGAAATGTAGACTTCTATCCTTCCAAATATCCATACCATTTTTACTTGTAGCACTTTCATATTCTAACTTGTACACATCTTATCTCTAGCTACACCCCCAGTATAAAAAAAAAAGAAACAAAAGAAAAAGAAAGAAAAGAAACTCTGCCCTTAAGGTACTTAAAATCTCAAATGGCTCCCTGGAAGCAAACACTTAAAATACTTGCATGAAGAAATTCAGACTGAACATTAAGACAAGTTTGATTTTTAAAATAATTGCATAGAGGAGACCAATGATTAACTGATCGATAACAAAAAGGTATAGCCCAAATTCTTGTTTGGTTTTTCCCTCCAGATGTAAATGAATGCTTGGTTAACAATGGTGGATGCTCCCATATCTGCAAAGACCTGATTATAGGTTATGAATGTGACTGTGCTGCTGGGTTTGAACTGATAGACAGAAAGACTTGTGGTGGTAAGATTCCAAAAATCTGTCTTTGCAAGGGGCTTAAAAGGGGAAAAGACAAGGTATAACTACCAAAGAGTAGGAACAGCAAGACTAATTCTAAATTTCCCTCCTAGATATTGATGAATGTCAAAATCCTGGAATCTGCAGTCAAATTTGTATCAACTTAAAAGGCGGTTACAAGTGTGAATGTAGTCGTGGCTATCAAATGGATCTTGCCACAGGAGTGTGCAAGGCAGTAGGTAAATGAAATTCAAAGCAGTGTTTTGATATAGATTACCTTTGTAAGCAAGTGTTTACAAAAGGTACAATTATATAAGTTTTAGCTTGACATTTTGCTTTGACTGCAATCTTATTTGAAAGCAGTAAGTTAGTAGCTTCAAAAGGGGGTCATAAATAAAGGTTCTACTATAAAAATAGCATGACATTTCCATCATGGCATGGAAGGGACCCTGGATTCTTCCCGGCTAAGCCAGCAAAGTATAAACTTCATCATATGTCACTAACCTGGAAAGGTTTATAGAATGGTTTATAGAATTTCCTCACCAGTAAGCTGGAGAATATGGTTTGTTGGGGTTTTTGTTTGTTTGGGAGTTTGTTTTTGTTTTGTTTTGGTTTTTTGCCATGGCAACTCATGAAAATGTTTCCATCATATACAAATATGGTAGGCTATTTCCAAAGAAGCCTTAACAGTTATTCCTCTTCCAGGTATCTTTTTGTGTTTGCTTTTGTTGATGTGAGTCCTGATTCAGTTCAAATCAAAGGAAGGATTAAAGGTTTTTTCTTGATTAGTTGACATTGTTTCTATTCCATTCAAATGGGAAAACCATAAGTGCTTGTGTTCTTAAAATAAATAAATAGGAAATACTCAGAACCGAAGACTGGACTGAAGTAAAAGGTGGTATTAAAGTCTTCAATTGTATTTTGGCTTAGTAATGCCCAATGGGGAAGGGATTCTAATAGTAAGGCTAAAGCCTAACTTTCTGCTTTCAGGAAAGGAACCAAGCTTAATCTTCACTAATCGAAGGGACATCAGAAAAATTGGCCTGGAAAGGAAAGAATACATTCAACTTGTAGAGCAACTAAGAAATACCATAGCACTAGATGCTGACATAGCTGCCCAGAAGTTATTTTGGGCTGATCTAAGCCAAAAAGCAATCTTCAGGTAACTTGCCCTGTGGGTCATTTGGCCATCTTGGAATAACTGGGTTGTTCTATCACTGTTGGGATTGTTGGTAAGATAACTCCAAGTAAAAATGTTGGTTTTAAAATTTCTTAGCATTCAAACAATGTTGTATGATGTTTGGTTATAAATCAGGATCCAATTTTGGTTGCAAGGAATAGAATCGGGGAAGATAAATAGTTTAAAATGACCAATAAGCAGGAATGTGCTGGAACTAGCTCAAAATGGCTAGTGAGAACTAAAAGTAAAGTTTTCAGTGTGAACATTTATACCTCAGAAATTGGCAACCGCTATGTCAGGGCTTGATAAATTTTTGATTGTCGGGACTTAAAGTGATGGAGAAAATATTAATAATGCAGATTACACTTAAAAATGTGCATGCATTTCCCTCCCCCATGCCCAAATGCCAGTTTTAACGTTTACTAGCACACCACTGCCAATAAGGGTCAGAATGCCAAGCTAACTTATATATTCTTTACCCTCACTAACCACTCTAAAAGTATACAGCAATAGCAGTGTTACAATTTTCTTTTATTGCTGGTATCAAGTTTTCCAATAATTCCTTTTCAGCCATTATCTGAAATTTGCATCATAAAATTTGATTCAAATTCTTACCAATGAAAGTCATAGATGGCTTGTCAATGAACTAGTTTGCTTCTAGCAACAGATGTTCTGATGCCAAAATCTGAACTACAACATGATAATCTAGTCATTCAGACAAAGACATAGTAATACTACCTGCTATTTTATGAAGCTTTTAACCATCTGAAGGCATAAATGTCCTGTCATATTCTCAAATCTCATGTGACCCTGTTCTGTTTCAGTGCCCCAATTGATGCTCGTGACAAAGTTGGTAGCCATGTTAAAATGATCGACAATGTCTATAATCCTGCAGCCATTGCTGTTGACTGGGTCTACAAGAATATCTACTGGACTGATGTGGCTTCAAAGACTATTTCAGTGGCTACTTTAGATGGAACCAAGAGAAAGATCCTATTTAATTCTGATTTGCGAGAGCCTGCCTCCATAGCTGTGGACCCGCTGTCTGGGTTAGTTTCTAGGCATCTTTGTTAAGTTACCTGGAAGCTACAGTATAAAAGTAAAGTATGATGACAACCAGCAGCTTCATGGTTCTCTGTATATGGGCCTATGTAGCTCAGAACTCATTGGTTCCCAAAGAGTTTAATAGCAAATACCTACAATATCTTCAAAGGTAACTCGTGAAAGGCACTGGACTAAGCTGGTAATGGGGGCTGGAAATGTGCCATGATTCTTGGCTCGAATTTGCTATGACAAGACTCAGTTGGTGCTATTAATTCTTTCCAAGTGGTTTACTTCAGGTGCCCATAGACAACTTAGTTTTAAAACCATGATTTGAGCCACATATTACTCTTTGGTTCCTTTCATTAAAAGATGTTAAAAGTGTCTCCTGCTTATTCCCAGAAACTGAAGGTCAGCCATAATTTCCCAGTTTAAGTACCTCTTATACTTCATAATTCAGCCTTTTGAAAGCATGAAATTTATCACTAGTGCATATCTCATAGGTGAAAGATGTCTGATTTATCATGATCCATTAATGACCCATCCTTGATTCCTATGTAAACTGAAAGTACCAGCATAAGTCTTGTGATAAGAGTAGAATGTAAACTCTTAAGATAATTTCCCATAGAAGTTTTAGGACTTGGTATTTTGTAGCATTAATCATGTATAATTATTCACCTGTATAACTTCTGACCTAAAGAGTTCTTGGAGTTAGAATTCTTTCTCCTTAGGCTTAATACCCATCCTTGTTGAAACAAATGGCAAGCCACCTTCATGGTATGTGATTTTGCCCCTTCCCATTGATCAGCTTCTGCCTACAAAAAAGAAAAAGAGCCAAAGAAGTCTTTCTCAGGGGTCACATAGCTGATAACATCTTAACCCAGGTCTTTCCCCCTCTTAAAATGAGCAATCAATTGGGGAAGGAGTGTTTACATAATATTTAGGGGTTTTTTAAAGGGAATAAATACTCTGAAAGATTATATTTAGCATTATCTTCCTTGTACCTAACCCTGATGGGTCTTAATGTAATATTTAGGTAATTAATGTTAACATTTATAATTTTTTTGAAAATTATTTTATATTTCATTGTATCTTAGATGCCCAAATATATGATATAAATGTGTCTCCAATCATATTAAGGAAATAGAGAATTATTCATGAACAATCATTCTAACTTATACTATATGAAACTGTTAGCTGATGCTTTATAGGGTTGGTACCATAAATTCTGCTTACTAAACCAGTGATGTTTATGGTTAACATTTTCTTTACAGCTTTGTTTACTGGTCAGACTGGGGAGAACCAGCTAAAATAGAAAAAGCAGGAATGAATGGACTTGACAGATGGCCACTGGTGACTGTAGACATTCAATGGCCTAATGGAATTACACTTGGTATGCCTGTTGGGTTTTTATTTAATTCTTTGATTCAAGGTACTAAAACTAAGATACAGCACACCAAAACAGATCTGTCCTCATAAAGATGTTATTCTCAAATCTGGACTAGAATTAAAACTTTCAGCTTAAGACAAATTTGACCTGAGAAGAGTTGTCCTAATCATATTGGTATACTGCTAGTTTTTTGCAAAGTCTCTTTAGGTATAAAATGTTGGCAGTTGTATAAACAAGAAACCTTTGTGTACCTTCATCCCTTCTAGATTTTAGATTAAAAGTTAGCAATACTAGGAACAGTACCATAGCTGACATAGTATATTGGTACTCTACTTTTTCAAGTATAAATGGCAAAATATACTGTTTCATTTAACAGTACTTTTTTTGTTTTCTTCAAAATATAAAAAGTATTATAGAAGAAACCATTTAGGTCTACGTAAATTTCAGATGAACATCCTTTGGGATGGGTTCCATTAAACTACCATATGTACTCTAGGCTTATCTTATGTTGAATGCATTTGCTAACAATGTAACTCATTTTTCCTACCTAGATCTTGTAAAAAGTCGTCTCTATTGGCTTGATTCTAAACTACACATGCTGTCCAGCGTGGATTTGAATGGTCAAGATCGTAGAATAGTACTCAAGTCTCTAGAGTTCCTGGCTCATCCTCTTGCTGTCACAATGTTTGAGGTAGGATTCAGAGTATTTTGACTGTTGGCTCAAGGGTAGAGACTCACAAGTTATTTGTGTTTTTACTCCTATTCTAAATGATGGGGAAGTGTGGGCTGGGGAGCATGGCTTCTTGGATTTGAGTCTATTTTTTTTCTTGACTTCTCCTTTGAAATCCTGGCATAAGAGTCAACTTCAATTAATCTTATCTAATCTTTATCAAAATTGAACTGAACATAATATATGCCTAAAGAATTACAGGAATTAAGTTTTCTTCAAGGTCTAGTTATTTCTTGAATTAATATCTATTTCAGTAATACAAACTTGCCACAGCATGATATAGAAAACATCATTTCTTCTATAGCTGTACTCTTATGAAAGTGTTGGGTTAGTTCTGACTGTGAATAAGGTCTACTGATTAAGTGTACTACTCATCCCCAAGCTCTTAAATTTTTAATTATTCTGTGCAACAAGTCCTGCAGATAATATCAAATTTTTTCAATCCTATTCTAGGACCGTGTCTATTGGATAGATGGTGAGAATGAAGCAGTCTATGGTGCCAACAAATTCACAGGGTCAGAATTGGCTACTCTGGTTAACAACCTCAATGATGCTCAAGATATAATTGTATACCATGAACTTGTACAACCAGCAGGTAACCTCTAGATAAGTAATGTCTTTTAACTACCACTATAAAACCAGCCTCAGGATAATCTGATACTGTAGCCAGACTGGAAGTTTGCCTCCTAATTTTGTTAACATCCAAGTAGACTTTCTATGCAGTCTGCTCCCGCTATATTGCCTTTGCGCCATACAAAAATCAATATTCTGATAGGTTTGAAGCATTTTTTCCAGGAAGTACATGTAACAGCATATATTAATATAATAGTGTTAGTGTATGGCTTACGTGACTGTAAACTGTTGGTAGATTTGAGATTCAAAAGTTAAAGTAAAAAATTTCTTAGAAGTAAAAACTTAAAAGGATGATCTTGTCTTCCAATAGGTAAAAACTGGTGTGAAGAAGACATTGAAAATGGAGGCTGTGAGTACCTATGTCTACCAGCACCGCAAATCAATGATCACTCTCCAAAATATGCCTGTTCCTGTCCCAGTGGGTATAATCTGGAAGGTGATGGCAGGGCATGTAGAAGTGAGTTTTCCTTTATTTGAAAATTAGTGTTCCTACTCTTGTGAATACTTGGCATGATTGTCCTGTTTGCCCCCAAAAAAGCACCAAAAAATCTACAGAAGCTTCACATAATGTTCAAGTTTTCAGGGAATTTGCTAGGCTATAGATACAGTAAAACTCTAACTCATTAAGAAAGTACACAATATTTAAGAGCCTTTGTCTTTACATAGGACTCAAACCATCTCATAAGTAATGCCTATTGTATGAGGTTCAGGTGAGAATATAAATTAAGTACTTTGCAAACAGTAAAAGCCCTGTATAAATATCCATTAGGATCTATTAGGGGAGTGTGGCTCTGGAATCCAAGCCAGCCTCAAGTATACAACTTCTTTAAATTCACCATTTTGGTAAATCATAATTATATGAATATTTTCTAATCTGTAGGTTTCTAAACAAAAGTGTTAAGGATATATGATCTAACAAAGAAAGAACTGGTCTTGTCCTGATTCACCTAAATTCTTAACACAATATTGATACCTCAGTAAATAACCTTATCTCAAACTAAGATTTGAAGCACTCAAGCTTTGATTTCAAGTGAACTATTGTTAGAGAAATGGGTACAGTATTAAGACAATCATTTTACTACTTTGAGCAAAGTCCTGCTAATGCATTATTGATTATGCCTGGACCATTCCAGATTGACAAGCTCATCTGGAAACACTATTTAAATCTTCATTTGTCAAAGACTTCCTTATGACCTAGTCACAGTGATACCTCTTGGCCAATAAATAGAAGCAAAGAGTAGAGCCAAATTTTTGTAAGACATAAACTGTGATTGTCATCTAAGGATCTCTGCTTAAAGGATATGGCCTCTAGTAGAAAACAAGAATGTTCATACTCAATTTAACCACAAACTCCTGGCAGTTCTAAAATGGTCTAGAATACTGGGCAAAGCCCTAACTTCTTGAACTTGTCTGATATTAGGCTTACCTCTCAGCGAAGCATCCTGGTTACTTTAGACTTTGACCTTGCTTGAATAGTCTATATCCAATCTCTTTTAAACAGCCAATGACTAGATGTTATTGTGTGACTTACATTGCTGTGACCTCCTCCTCCAGAAGCGAACTGGACTTAATGCAGAAAAATAACTTGCTTGTATTGCTTATCCACCATTAAATCATTTTAAGACCTGAGTTAACCAGGTTTATAATGACTTTGAAGAACTATGAAATAGAATGAGAACAAAGATCCCCAGTATAACATAAGTCACTAACTGGTAGACTGATTCTTGGAAGTTAGGGGCTGAATAACTCAAAATGATCCTAAATCTAAGATACATAGAAATACTTACAAATATGACTTTTTCTTACCACTCTTCCTTTCCAAGAGCATTGAGAAATTACTATTGTCCAGTAATAAAAAGCCACCTTTCTTCTATGTTAGTGGCTAATGGCTATAAACTTTTGCAGAAAGCCTAACTATATATAATATATCTAAAAACTATTTAAAAATGATGTTTAACAAACATTAACTAAAAACCAATTGGCAAGGCATAAAGGACAATTTTTCCCCCTGCTTCTAGACCTTTGAGGTTCTTGAAAGTCCTGAAGAAAATCACTGGTCTAAAGCAAAGTATATGTTAGATACCTTTAGGTTGTGAGCTCCTTAAAGTCAAGGACTATCTTTTGCCTCTCTTTATATCCCCAGCACTTAGCACAGTACTTGGCATATAAGAGGTGCTTAATACATATTTATTGACTGAAATTTGTGATATTAAAGCTTTAATGCTCCCTTTATGTAACAGATAATGATACAGTTATCTCAATTGTTTTTAATTCTCAAATCAGTCTCTGAATTACTTTCAATTTAGTGCACAAAAGTCTCAAATCATCTGAATTGATATAATAGCATCAAAGATGTTATTTCCTTTTAAAGGAATCAATGTGACTACTGCAATATCAGAAGTAAATGTTTCTCCAGGAGGAACTTCAGCTGCCTGGGCCATCCTTCCTGTCTGTAAGTAACATGACCACCGTGTCCTGCAACAAATACAGTACAAATCGAGTATGTTAAAAGATTGGAGACAAATTTGACCTCCTCACAACAGTTCTGCAATGAGTGCTTTTGTACTGGAAATGCCACCAAACTGTTCATTTCTATAACTTGCTAACTTGCCTTTGTAGTCTAGTGTACCTTTAAACAAATAAGTGTGTGTGTGTGTGTGTGTGTGTGTGTGTGTGTAAAGCATATTATAAACTCGTTAGCCAGTTTTCCATAAACTCCTGTTTCTTTACTAGCACAGAACATGTGCCTTCATCTTCTCATTACAAAGTGTATTGAATTAAGGTGTGTTGTGTATACATGTATATGTATATGTATGTGTTTGTGTGTATGTCTATATATATGTGTATATATACACATACACACATATATGTGTGTATAGTTTAGCACAGTGCCTGGCACATAGTAGGTGCTATATAAATACATATTTCCTTCCCCTGCTGTACACTTACTAAGCTACTATTGGGTTTCTAGTGCTCTTGGCTATGGCTGCAGCTGCTGGTTACCTTATGTGGAGGAATTGGCAACACAAGAACATGAAAAGCATGAATTTTGACAATCCTGTCTACTTGAAAACCACAGAAGAAGATCTCACTATAGATATTGGAAGACATAGTACTTCTGTTGGACACACTTATCCAGCGGTGAGTAAACTTGAAGCTGCTTCCTAAATGTGCTTAAAAGCCATAGCTCACAATGTGAGCTCTCCCTCCTTCTCCCTCCATACATGCATGTGTACACACACACGTGTGTGTGGGTATATATGACAATATTCTCTCAATACTCTTGGAAAGTGAGAACAAGTCACATTTTGTAAGTATTTCAGCATATATGTATGAATACATGCATATATGTGTATAAATATATATATATTTTTTATATATCATAATTAAATGTGTTCAATCTGATCCATCCTTCACAGCAGCTGTCTTAGCAGAGAGTTCTAGCATGACATAACTAATTACTGTATACTATTTTATGACCAGTCAGTTCACCACATAAGTAGCAAAGAGTATTAGTCTAAGTTTTTATGCCCATTTCTATCAGAAACTACAGTTAACTTGTAATTTCATGGTAACACTTAGAGTTTGTGTCATGTACATAAAGCTACTTTTAAACACTTGCTAGTTTCATGTGTTCCTTCTCTGCTTTATTTTCCATTTGGAGAAAAAAGGGAGCACATTTTCCACAAACAAAGCGCTGTCTGTAATATATAGACTTACTGGGATACCCAATAAGTAACCTTTTTTTCCCCTTTCCTTTCAGATATCGGTTGTAAGCACAGATGATGACCTAGCTTGAATATTTGGACAAGAGACAGCCCTTTCAATCTACACTAAGTCCTAAACTTTTTTTTTTGGATGGTAACCAAACCAGTGGCTGAAAAAAGTTCTCTTCCTACCACCTGGAAGAATATGATCATATTATTTGTGTGGAGCAAGTTTGTGTACTCGACTTTTCTATATTCTACTTTTTTTGTAAATATTCTTGTCCACAGTTTAGTTCAGCTCTGGATATGGTTACCGAATATCTGTAACCCTTGAATTTTTTAGACAGTATTGCCACCAATGGCCAAATATGCACTTTCCATAGAAAGCCATATTCCAGCAACAAAACTTGTGCTATATAGTATACAACCTGTACATAACTTGTATAGGCCATCTGTAAATATCCTGAAGAACAATCACTATTCTTAAGCACTTTGAAAATATTTCTATGTAAATTATTGTAAACTTTTTTTTCAGTGGTTGGGGCAATGGCAATAGGAGAAAACGGGTTACTAAGATGAAATTGCCAAAAAAAAATTTGTAAACTAATTTTGTATGTGTGAGTGAAATCTTTGTGACCTCCATAGAGGCTTGCAGAGGGTGAGTGTTCAGCAAACCACTGTACAATTTTTTCTGCGTGCTAAAAATTAAACCAAGCAGCTTATCAATGGCTTGTGCCTATTCCCATAGGGTGAGAGTGCATTTCATGTACTAGCAAAGCATTAAGGTTTAGTTACTATGAGATGCAGTAGCCTATAGACTTTAATGTCTTATGGCCCTGGACTGAATCCTGTTAGCTTAATGCTTTTATTTAAAAAAAAAAATCATGGAACTGGTGGAGTAGGGACAGGGGTAGAAGAAGTTGGAACACCAAAAAAACCTACCAAATTCTTCTTGGAAGTGATTTTGGCCTATTAACATTCTAGGACTAGGGAAGTTGGCTTTAAAGTTTAAGTATGGTACCAAAAAGTGAGTTATTTATATTATCAGCTAATGGTTTTTGTTAGCATCCTTTCTGGAGAATGTTCCTGCTTTAGTCCCTTTAATCATTAGCGATAGCTGATCAAACCTCTGCTTATTTCCTAGGAATCGTTATATTTTCCCACATGCTTAAAAATTCCAGGGAGTCAAAATGAAGGATATTTTGCATTGGGGTGGGGGAACTACTTCATCTACCAGGCAAGAATTACAGAAACTATTTGACCAATTTGGACAAGGTGAGCATAGTCTGCTTTTCTAAAGCTTATAGAAGTAAGATTTCATTTTGGCATTGACTAATTAGGGAGCCACTATGGATCAGGATGTGTTACAGAAGGTTTTCTCAAAGACATGGAGAAACAAGGTCAGCAGAATGGGAGTCAAAGTCCATTCTCTAGGTCATGAAAGACAATGGTGAGAAGTTGCTTGAATTTGCAATCTGAAGTCTCCTGTCTTTATTTATACATAATGTTCTGCCTTATCCTAAGAGGCTAAGCTTCAAATATACATCTAGTTTTGCATGGAATCCATGCATAGACTGTATCCACGGGAGCAAAAGACTCTTTCTAGAGTCATGGCATAGTAAAAATCATGGCCCAGAGATATGGGCAGAAAATGGAACTGCAGTGGGTATTTTTTTTAAAGGATTGTCAATGTATATGGTATTGAAGAAAGCCAGAATAGGCTAAAAACCAAGAAGTGATCAGATCTTGGAAGTCCAGGACAGAGAAGGATCTAAGCATGAATTAACTTTTGTTGATATAACAAGGTAGAATAGAGAAACAGCTCATTGATCTTAAATGCCTTTATTGATTTGATAATATGAATCTAATCTTATTAGGGAAATGGAGGTGAAGTTGTCAGAAAACTTGTCAAATATATGAAGATAAAAGATGTAGTAATTAAATAGTTTTGAGCTGTTTAAGGGTCATAACTTAAGAATGCTTAACAATTGAGAAGAAAATGAAGCATTAAGTTAAGTCTTTTCTCAAACTCTAACCTCTATATAAGGTAACCAAGATCCCATTAATGTCTTAGCCTTAAAGTAAGATACTTACATGACCATTTGCTTAGCTAGAGCTGGAACTAAAAAATGACAAGTTACTCATTAAACTTGGATAATTTATAACTTCCCCAAAGGCTTAAATAAATGCATTTTGGCAACTGTGGGCATGAGTGAATGAGTTGTTTTACTAAACAGTGTAGCTCATTTGGTACAGTTAAAGGCTACCCTTTTATCTATTACAATCTACTAAAATACCTCATGTGTTACTAGATTATAAAAAGAAAAAGAAAGTGGAGTAGATTAGTCTTGCTGCCTGCCTAAGGAGAAGGATTGACACTGGACAACTAACTTCCAACAATACATTTATGTCTAGTTCCTTCTCACACTTCAAGTTACTTTAAATATTAAATGTTCGTTCAAGTTCAGACCCCAAATTTGTAGAGTAGGCCATATTTCCAGTACTGCTAGATGTGCCTCATAGCTGAAAAGGTAGGCAAACTGAGCCTTGGCCATAGTGTGTATATTTTAAAACCAAGATAAAAAAGGAGAGGAATGTTCTACAAAGCCTTCTAAATGTTCTACATTGGTCCCTTGTTTGCATACACCATAGAAGATAGACTCTCCACTATACACATTTAATGAAAGTGAACCTTGGTACTAATCCAAAACAATTTATATTTGACTTTAGATTGTATTGTAAATTAATTTCAAGTCTTACCTTAAAGATGAATCTTAAAAGTAATTGTGTCTGCACGTAAGCATAGCAGGTGGTGGGAAGGTGGTATAGAAATATCAAGAAGATAAAACTGAGTACAGTTTATAATAATAAGTAACTTTTCAAGTTCTATGAAACTATTAAGCCCTACTAAAGGATTTTTTTTTCTAACTGGAAACCTCTTGAATTACAGTATTAACATGTCAAGTTATTTTATAATGCTAAAGTTCCTTCTTGGTTCAAGTTCAGACCCAAAATAAATAACGAGAGCTGCTCGTAATATATTGAGCAAATGATTAAGAACTACCTGATCAAGATCCTTAATGGCTTGCCTTTGTCAAAACAGGGCTTGGCCAACTATGGCTCTCTGGCCAAATCCAGCCCACAGCTAAAAATGGCTTTTACATTTTTAAGTACAATGATGCTTTACTTCAAAAATGTAAAAACTATTTTTAGCTCTGGGGTGATATAAAAACAAGGGTGGGCTGGATTTGACTTTGCTCCCTGCCTTAAAGGGATCAAATTGGCAGGGCTTATGTTTTTAAAGGTCATTCTAAAAATTATTACTTTAGATCTCTCATCTTCCACCAGTTCACCTGAATTGTTCTGTGCTTAGAAAATTTTAAAGCATTTATATGGCCATTCTTTACTAAATCTAGTTGTCAAGTTAACATTCTCTGGTCTTATGGAAAGTCTATACAATTCTTTTTAAATATCTTTTCAATAATGATCAGAAATAGCAAATTCTAACTAAGACCCAATGAGCAAAAGAATGCCATTAAATGTTTAAACAACATACCAAACAAAACATTAAAAAGCCTTTAGGAGATGAATATGAAGTCAGGAGGTCAGTTTAGTATCCTTCACTCTACTAAACAACCTGAAGAAACATATGTAGCCAGTGATGCCTTCCGGAGTGTTACAAGGCAGGAAAACAGGGTTAACTTGAAAAGCTATCAACGAAACTCTATATAATAACTTCATCTTATTCTAAAGCTAAAATCAACCTGAATGTCTTACGGTAGCACTGGAGAATCAAGTGTGTGTGTGTGTATGTATTTATATATACACACACATAGAGATTAATTGCAATTGCTGTGGTAACCCTCTAAGTTGGAAGAAGGCCAATTTATTATTCTAAGACGCTGAATTTCTTGATTACTGTTCAGTATCATCATCTGCAAATTCATTATTTTTTTAGCATTTTCTTCCAACTTTAGGTATCCCTGCTTATATAAGGCATCTCAAGTTTCTTTTTATGGAAGTATATGTTGGTATCATAGAGAAAATGGGTTGCTTTAGGGCATGAAGGTAGAAGAGGGTTTACAGCCATATTATTCTCTGCTGTGCAGTACAGGGTTCCCCACCAGGTCACCCTGACGTTGCTGCAGATATAGTGAGTGGTAGCCAACTGTCCCAACACTCATTTAACTGAGTTAGATAGGAGGAGGAAGATTGTTATATCTTGGATCAACCTAACCCATACAGTGAGTCAGAGGAATCGATAAAAGTCTGGAATAATGGCATAGCTTCAGTGGTTAGTGTTGAAGCCTAGGTCTTTCTCCCCTCAGTCTAGTGAGTAGGATGTGCAAATGTCAATCTAGGTCTAGGATCTTAGCTCACGCTCTTCTGGAGCCCACGACTAGCAGGAAAGCAATAAAGTGCAGACAGATCTAACCTAGAGTTCCTATCTGAAGTATGCTAGCCAGTTGGCTTACATTTCCTGACTATGGTGCCTGCTGCAGACATGAGATAATGTCATCAGACACATGTTATTTCTCCCTAGTACCAAATTCTTTTAATGAGGTGATGTTTAATTTCTAAGTACACAACACAAACAGGACCTTTTTAAACAGCTGTTGGAAAGAGCTTTAAACTAGGAAGTCTGGAGACTTGGGTTCTAATGTTGGCACTATCACTGATTAGCAATGTAATCTCAGGTAGGTTATCGCCTGTTTGGTAAAATGAGAATGTGATATCAATCTCAAAGGAAAGCCCGTTCTGTCTTTAGGATTTTGTTGCAGGAAGGGTCAGAAGCTGAACACTGGAGTTTGGGAGGGTATTTGAGGGGGGAGAGAATAGGTGAATATAAAAGTTGCAACTGGGGGATTGCTAGAATAAACTAAATTGCTTTGACCTTAGTTTGCATCTACTTTTCAAACTCTTAAAAGCATTAAGTCGCAACTCTGCAGTGTTTAGAAAGGATCGAGTTGAAGATAAAGGTGCTTAGGGGATCTAGTGGGAACCACTGGCTAAATGATTTGGAAATGGGTCTTGTTTTAGATGGGATTTTGCAGAGGAAAAATCAGACCTCTTCATTCTTGCCAAATTTTTGCCTGAGCTATTTATTTTCTTTGGCCATCGACAGTGCCTCCTTAGTGGTACCTGAATATCCAAGGTGTAAAACACCTATAGCCCAGGTTGGCTCAAAGATGATTGACTTTGCTACAGATGAACATAAAAACTAGCAAGTCGTGAATAATGACATTCATTTGGGGTGATTGGCTAATAAGATCAGTACCAGAGTATCTGTTGAGCTTTACTTTATGCCTTTTTTCATTGGGGATATAAGTTGTCGATTTGTAATGTTTTGTCAGTGTTTCACATTTAGTGCCCAAGCAAGAGAAATGCCTGTCTCCAGGTTTGCTTCCAATGATGGAGGCATTCCAAGACTGTAACATCAGTGGTGATATGTTAGCTTTTGTTTAGCTTTTTGCTGAGCTAGCACTGTTTCACACCTGGAGGGTGTTATTAGCAGGCTATTTTGGGGATTCTATATAGCATAAGCAAGTTATTAGATGAAAAATTTAAAAACAAAGTTTCCCCAAAGGTAAATTTGGAGGGATGACTAGATGATCTCTAAGGTCCCATCCAGCTATAAAGTTGTGTCTTGTATGTTTACTCATACCTTTACCATGGGAACTGATTGTAAAAAATACTAGCCATCTGGTATATAGCTCTGGGAATTTGGGGGTGGGGTTGGGGAACTTTGCAGGAAAGCAGTGATAAGAGAACAGAGTCAAGCAGGAGCAATTGTGTTCCAGTATAACAGATGTGATGATTCAGAATGGACCTTGATCTGCATATTCTTGTATTGAAAGTCATCCAGACATCTATGGATATGTGCAATCTATATCTGCAGAAGAGAAATCATCTCCTAATTCATGGCCTATAACAACCATTTATCTTTTAATCTAGGGATTCTTAACCTTTTTTTATGTCATAGACCCCTCTGTCAGTCTGATGAAGCATATAGACACCTCAGAAGAATGTTTTTAAGTGTATAAAATACATAGGATTAAAAAAGGCAACCAATTATGTTGGAATATGGTTATCAAAATGTTGAAAAATAAAACATTCATGGACTCCATGTTAAGAACCCCTGCTTTAGTCCCTATATTCTAGGATATCTAAATCCTATAATTCTTTTTAGAAACTGAGTCCAGTCTGGGAAAACCACATTGTCACACATTGGAAGCTTTAGATAGTCCCACTTGGGAAACGTACAGTGCTGCTGATCTGTACATAAGAGCTTTTAGCCTCTAACCCTTTTAATCACCCTTATGATTAAATAAAAATCTATTTTTCAAAAAAAGTTGTCATAAGCCTCTCCCTTTATTGCTAATTCTGAGGGTAAGGGGTAGAAATAGAAATACTTCTTCCGTACCTTTTTTTTCTTGGCTGAATCATTCATTCATTGAATACTACTCAATCATCTACATCTAGAGAACAACTAGGACCACTAAAGCCTGGTTTTGCAGTTCTTCCCAAAAAGGTAAGAAGTGAGGCTTTATGCTCACTGCCAAGCTTTGAAGTGCACATGCTCCACTGAGATTGCCAGTATAAATTAAGGCATTAGGTTTCTCTTTCCTGGTAATGGGGGGTATAAAACGATTTTTAAGAATCTCCCAAAACTTTCTTCCTTCTGTGATTTTTTTTAACCATAGCCTGATATGACTTATTTGGCTAAAGAGGAGGTTTTTCAGGAAAGCATTATAAAACACTTTTATAGTTGCTAAGAATTATTGAAGCACTTGCCCTTTTCATCAGCTCTCACAGTCTTGAGAAATTTCCCCTGCCTCACTCATCCCTTTCTTTGCCACCATTCTCCATCACACCTCACTAAAACCTCATCCAAGGGTCTTTTCTTCTTCATCTAGTGTCCCTTGCTTGGCTTTCAGTGTTACCCTGAGCTCTTCCATTACTAAACATCCCAGTGGAACTAGGAAAAGGTGAAAAAGTAAAGTAAGAAAGGTTGGGGGAAGAGGGAAAGTGGAGGAAAAAATCTCAAAAAGATGTCAAAAGCAGCTCTTTATAGTCTTTGTCCCCCAAAGACTAGTCAACAAAGTGCTGAGTGTAGAGTCAAAGACCTGGATTCAAATATTACCTTTGAAACTATAACCCTAGGCAAGTCACTTAACCTCTCAGCCTCAGTTTCCTCATCTGTAAAATGGAGATTATAGCACCTTTTGTGAAGATCAAATGAGATAATGCATATAAATGGGCTTTCCAAACCTTAAAAAGAGACATAAATGTGAGCCATTACATGTTAAAAGGAAGATTTTATTGCTTTTAATTTTGATCAGTATGCTTGAAAATTTTAACTGGGAAAGTTAACATAAGGCATTAAATTCCCAGGGCATTTGGAGGGAAGAGAAAAAAAGGCAATCCTATTGGACCAGTGAAAATAGGTTGGAGCTTGAGGTTTTTCCCCCTATTTCCATAGTACAGTTCATATGGCTTCTGGAAAGGGGCAGACTGGCTAGCTTGTATGTACCAATTGGAAAAAAAAA